TCAAAGAGCTGGAAATAAAACCCCATTTCTAAGGTTATAAAGCACAACTCTCCATTTTGGAAAATTACTAGAACGAGTTTGCTTAGCAGCTTCACATTAAGAAATGCTTCCAGAAAAGTTTCTGAATTCTCTCAGACTAAATTAAAGACCAACACAAGCTATATCCCAATATCATTTTTACAAATGCCTTTTCCCATAGCAGCCTCAGTCTGCACACTAATTTTAACACCAGTGCCTTAATATTTTATACCTTTTCAGATAGATTTGTAACCACAGAATTCTTGAAACAGAATTTTTAAAGCCAACCTAGTTGCAAGCTGAGCTAACAGTATTGCATTGATCCCAAACCTCAAGAAGGCTAAGAAAATAAAACTGTTTCATGGTTGGAGGTGCAAAACTACAGAAACAGGTATAACTTCATACCCATTCTTAGGAGTCTCATAGGGTAGAGATGGACTTTCTCTCATCAGCCCCACTTTTCTCTTTTTCTAATTCTCTTTTTCTAGTTCTCCACCAAGCTCCAAAAAATGCAAGGAAAATGGCTTTCCCCAACTGGACAAGAAGCTTGTGCATCTTAACTCTTTGTCCCTTACAAGCAGCACTTTGGTCACTATGAGTACTTTTCTGAAATCCACAGCAGTCCCCTTCGGATGCCTGCAAATGATTCCCATGGTCTGACTTCAGCTTCCTTTTATTATGAGGGATAACAGACTTAGCAATGGGGAAAAGAGAAAATGTTGAAAGACATAATTACATAATTTTTTCTTCAGACAGTGTGATGGGACAGAAGGGCACCAAGCCAACCAAGTATTACAGCTCTACAAGTTAGTTGGTGGGTTTTTTCTTCTCTTCTGTCCTTAACATAGCAAACCTTAGATACAGCTCTTGATTTGGAGCTCTCAGAGGAGCTGACCAGTTTGGGGTTCCTCAAGACACTGTAGTGGGACAAACTGTTAGAGCAGTGACATATCTTTTTTTCTACATGACTGTACTTTCAAACAACAGAGATCACATTTTGAAATGTAACATATTTCAAAATTCTCATTTAATAGTGTTGGGCTACAACTTCTGAAAAAAACCCCAATGAGTCTGCAATACCAGATGAACACTTCTAGTCTGAAGATTAATTACGTTAATGGTCTAAGCAAAACTAATCTCCTCTAACCCAGACAAATTAGTGTTTCCGCGCGGCTCATTAATCCCTGCTTCTTCATCTGAGGAGGCCATGTTGCATAGTACCAATATATGCAAAAGAACAGCATGCTAGGAATATCTGAGATTGGAAGTGCTGAAAACAGTAGAAGCATTACCCAGTTTGATCTAGACATCTATGGCAGCATTTTGTGCTGGTTCCACCTTTCATTTATCCATGACTCCCCCCTGCCAGTTTAAAGAAGCCTGGAGTATACCAGCAAACACTGTGATCTTCTGCAATCCCATTGAGAACAGAAACTGAAATTGAATGAAAAGCTATCTACTGCACATTTCATCAGAGAAAGCAGCTGCCACCATGACAGAGGAGTAAAGAGCCAGCACCTGTAAATCTAATGACCTTGCCACTGACATTCATTCATTAATAAGAGTTAAGGATCATATTACTGACGGACCTTCCCATGTGGTTTCAGTAGAAGGACACAACTGAAGAAACTTTTTCTTAACCCCTTTCAGTCTTTCTTTGGAAGCTGGACTGTCCTCCCTGCCAGCTCACCCAGGTACAACTCCTTGAGCGAAGCAGGAGCCCAGCACTGAGCTCGGATTCACCTCCAGCCAACTGCTGCCTTCCTTGTGCCTGTGTACACTGAGAATGTGCCTGGCTCATGCTCCCCAGCTGTCAGTACCAAAGCAACAAGCGTGGAACCACTCAAGGTGCTGCTGGGATGGTGCAAAAGTTACGGTATAATTAAGCTACACTTGTGGTAATTCTCAATTTAAAGTGACTTTGCCCCTCTCTCAAGGTGTTTGATCCCCGAGGCCTGAAATCCTCAGTGTGGGTGCCATTGCTTGCAAATCAATTGTTGCCCTCAGATATTCTATTGATTCCTGTGGTGCAGTGCCTGCGAGCAGCAAAAGCAAAAATGCCAATTTCAATTACTAAGCAAAGCAGAAGATTTCTTTGTGATTACAAAAGGAATATTCTTGTGATAACAAGAGGAAGATCTCCATTTGCTACATTCTGGGGAAGAAAAAAAAAATCCAATGTCCTTACTTTGCAAAAAAGGACAGAAACCTAGAGATTTCTACACTAGAACTATCCAGCTACATTGTTTGTTTTTCCACATTGTTGAAATAAATGATACATATATATATAAAGACAAAAAAATATATACACGCAATTATGCCATAACATACCCATCTGAATGAATTCAGACCAGAGAGAGAAGTGTAATAGGGTGATTTTCCCTTGAAATCCCATGTGCTACACAAATTTTGGTGAATCAACCACATTCTTTTGATGTAGTCCATCATCTCTGTGCCATCACTGGCATAATTGAATTCAGCCTGAGAAAGCACTTCCATGTGGGAAGTTATCTCACTGTATGCCCTGGAGATGAGAGGAGCTGAAAGAATAGGTGCAAGAACAACACAGCTGGGTGTCCTTCAGCAAAGAGGGGAACAATGTCTAAATCTTCAGGCCTCTGGTGTCACCCTCTCTCAAAGGGCAGCCCACACTAGAAGGATCATGTCACGTCCTGGCAAAGAACTGAAGAAAAATTCCTTTATTTTCCCCACCATGTTTTGGCCACTTCTCCCACTGACATTTTTTCAGCCCTAGCTGTGCCAACAAGGATGACCTCCCCTTACGAGCCCTCCTTCCCAATGTCTGGCCTCAAAGGGCTGTGTTGCACCATGCAACAGTTCTGACTGCTGCAACGAGCTGCCAGCCAGCCCTGACAGTGACAGTGCCAATGCCAGTGCCATCCCCAGAGGAGGGGACAGCAGCAGCACAGACTGGGACAAAGCCTCCCTGCCTTGGGCCCTGTGGACACAGTTCCCGCTGATGTGTGCAGAATGCAGACACTGCAGGGGGGATGTCCTCTGGTTTCTTGACATGGGGGCATCTGCTGTCCCCAGCCTGGTTCCTGCATCTAAACTGCAGTTCTGGTGTGAGGGGGCTAGCAGTAACATCCAAGGAAGGGCATTATGCAGGGAAGAAGGCCCACTCGATTTCATGTTTTCTCTTCTGCTGCAAGGGGAGGCAGGGAAAGCAAGAGAAAAGCAGGCTGGATATGCTTCAGCTCTTATTAAGAGTAAGAATACTCCAGGCTGCTTTCAGCAGCTTCTGATTCAGCTCAGAGCACAGCTGCAGGGGACACAAAGCAGTGCTGTGAAGGGCGACATCTGAGGCACAAGAGATACAGAATACAATCTGTACATCCTCATACTTTCTCTTGCTCTACACTCCCCTAGCCCTCTTTCTCTAGTCAATATATTCTGGGCTAGAAGCTGGTGCATGAGAGGAAAAGGAGAATTTATTTTTTTTCCCCTTCAGTATGGCTTCCTTTTAAAAAATAACATTGTTTTTTTTTGATCTAGCAACTTCAACAAGGTACACTGTTAATAACACACGTAGGGAAAAACATTATTTTCATGCAATTTCAGACCCTTGTGCCGGTCCTTGTACTATTGTACAGTTGTTGAAGAATTGTAGTACAGAGTTGGAATTATTTCTGAGATTTTTAAAGCAAAAGGAACATTTTCCTGATTCCACTTTGCAGAAATATTTTGTGCAGGAAATTAGTTTAGAGATCTAGAGAAACCTGCAATTAGACAGTAATTTTGAATGTAAAACTGAGCTAAAGTCCACTACTTCTTGGGCAGAGCACAGCAGTCCCCTGTCAAGGGAGAAGGGCTCAGCAAAAGCTCCCCAAGTTCACAGGCAGTGCTAGGAGAACACATAACCAGTTTGGACCCAAGCGTTCACCTACTGGAATTTGACATTATCTGTCTGCATGAGTGCAGCTTGAACAACTGCCAGCTCCAAAAGGCAGAACTTACATGGCTTGGGAGCATCACTCCCCCTTCCATAGCCCAGCTTCACCTGCCTAAGGAACCATTTATTGATAGGGTCTTGAAGGAGGCTTTCCTGCTGTCCAGAGTTTGCTCTGTGGAAAGGTAACCAGGTGGGGATGACAAAAAGTTAGATGAGTGCCAGATGCTCTGAAAAACTCTGCCTATAAGGTCTGCAGTCAGTATTACAAAAATTTGAAGAGGCCTTGACAAATGCTTAAAAAGCCCTGTTTCCTAAGTTGATCTGAGGTCACGCTTCATGTCAGCATATCATCAAGGATTCTTGCAAAACTGAACTTCTAGGCCAAGTCACTTTTCAGACAGAGCCTGAAAAAGAAGCATTTGGAAAAAAGCAAACAGCACAGTTGATGTTAGGGTTTCCTTTCATCAAAACAGCTTTCAGTTGCCAGAAATAGGGTTTATTGGCCACATGTCATACAAACAAACAATTAAGAGGATGGACTTTGTTACTGAGGGGATTTAGAAAGCTTCAAAATTGGATGCAAAGCTAGTTAAAATCATAACCACATAGGCGTCGCCAATTCTCCGCGCTGCACGCACGTGTGCACTTGCAGCGGTGCAGGCAGAAGGGCCAACCGGCTGAGAGAAAGACAATATTCCACTTTTACAGGAATGTTTACTTCAGAGGCACAATATGTTCTCCTGACAAGGAGGGATTATACTACACATGATTAGGAGTATCTCATTGCAGCTCTCATAAAAATTGGTCTCTGACAACACCAGAGTTGTTTAATAGCACTTGACAGATTAGAAGCACATACAGTATTAGCAAGAGTGTAACAGTCTTTGCTAAATAATCTGTGTAGCTTTATCAATGAGCAAACACTGCAGATGAACCAAAATCTTTATACAACACGCTTCCCATATGTAAGCAGGAATAATATTTTCAAATCCTCTCTCAGCTGTGACATCTTCTTGTAAGATGGACGTGCCTAATATTGGTGGAAAACACTTTTGCCAAGGGAAAAAGCTCTTTCTCTGATAAACTCGAGTTTTAATGGGGTGAACAATCCTCATTCATAGCATAGTCTGCACTTGTCCCCATCTATATTAGTTTAACTGTTAGACATTAGGCATTATGTTTTTAGGAGCTCTCACTTTCAAGGTCATATGGCTTCAAGCAAACTCCTTTAGGGAGATATCTGCAAGGCTGAGTGAATCAGAATTCTTGCCTAAAGACCTGCACATTTCCTGTCTGACATGCATGCATTGGTAGGTTCAAGTTGTACATGATATAAAGGCAAAATAGTCCACTCTTTGCTTTTCCAAAGTGTCTGGGAAACGCTCCATTTAGCAAGACTTGAACATATTTCCCTTAACCTAAGGACAGCCTGAAGCCTGTGTCTACCCTAGAAGATTAGGATTTATTTTCTGGGACTACATAGAAAATATCCTTAGTTCATGATCCTTGTGATGCCCAGACTTGCTGCAGACTGTAGCACTTCATTTTGATAAAATTAATATCTGCACTGGAATCCTTGAAACACTAAGAAGCAAATTTATCCACCTGACCTAAAGCCAGCCAAAAATAAAAATATGGTGAAAGGATGTGAATAGGATGCCTATCAGGGAAAGATGTGGCTTGTCAACACAAAGGCTCACTCAGTACTAACATTTCTTGGGTGAATATCATAAGTTGGAGTTCAGACTGGATGAAGATAATATAAAATTTACAAAAAATTCAAATGTCATTTTAAAACTTATTACAGAGATGACTCAGAGCATTCTGGCATGGGTTAAGAGGTGCCCCAGTCTGAACTTTGCAGGCTGGCAATTGACTAAACTGCATCAAAAACTGAATCATAAAATTTTCAAACTCCAGCTCCCTGTTGTTTCATAACACCAACCATCTAGTGGTGAACTGCCCTTGGATCATCACAGGAGGTGTGTTGGCTCATCACTGGCTTGGGGAGCGCCACTGTAAAGTGCATCACAGGTTTATAGTCAGATGAGCTCAGTCTGGGCTGGAGTAACAAAGGCAAACTCCACCATGATTAGTGAGTGTGTGCCTGAGCCAGGGTGGGAGCCTCAGCACTGCTGATACCAGTGAAGGGAAGCCTTGCCAGTTCAGATCATAAAACTGTAAGACAGTGGCTCTAAGTCAGGAGAGTGAAACACTTCTGTACTTGTAGGAATCATTATCCATAGGGAGAACAAGCTGCCCAACATGTGACAGAGCACTGCCTGTGCCGTGTCACAAGAGCAAGGGCAACAGAACATTCTCCAAGTCCACTGGCTGAGCAGCACTGTGGACCTTGCTTTCAGATTCTCCAGTCCCAGGGGCTCATTGAATGCCATTCTGCCAGTAAGAGTCCTCTAAGTGAAAAGAAAAATCCAGTTTCTCCTTTGCCTTGTCCTGCTGTCCTCCTCTCCTCCCTGCTCAGTAATGCAGCAGGACACTCTTTGGAGGCCAGGTGCTCCTTGGCAGCCAGTGACATGATTTACATTTCTGTGGCACATTTCACACTAATGGATACCAAAGGACATTTCAAAAGGTCTTTCACAGAGAAAGTCCTAACCTGAGTTATGAGAAAACACTGCAGCACATAAGTATTGCACAGCAACCTTAGGACAAGCAGCAGAGATGAGCATTAATTAGCTACAAAGGGAATTCTGGAAAGATGAGTGCAGTTCCTTACAGTTGTTCTGGCCAGTACATCAGAACCTGTATCATCCAATTCTTACAAAGGGTGGCACAAAGGTCTCAGTAGCTACAAGCTTTTCTGTCTCAGAAGATAATGTGTCCTGAGAAAAAAAAACATACAGAGAAACTGGAATTAGTAATAAGTCCAAAATAAATGAGTTCCACTGATTGGGTCAGTCCTCACCACAACCTATCATAAGCCTATGTCTTCCCTTCAGCACACTCTCATCAGGCTTGTGAGAGATCCCAACCCAGCTCAAGGCAACATATCTGGAAGTGGAGAGCTAATCCTCTGCCCATGTACACCAACAAGATGTCACTGGACTGATGAAGTGGGAGAAATTTACAGCAGCTGAGAATGTGTCACCTAAGGCAATCAGATTTAAAAGAAATACGATGGCAAGGGTCCTAAACATTTTCAAAACACTGCTGTCAGAACAAATCTCAGGGTACAAAACCCTTCTCTGAGAAGTTGTCAGAGACCCAGATGGGATACTGGCTCATTCTTTCCTTCCTGGAACACCATGCATTGTGTTCCTTTTCAGTTATTATTATTCCTGTACCCTAAACTCCTACTGTGAGGAGTCTCTGCTATGACATCATCCCCAACACTGAGCTTAAGGCTGGCCAAATATTTTGCTAAGCTTTCTTTCCCTCCCTGCCTTGGTAGCTAAAACTTTAGCTTAAAACTTTAGTTTTTCATTATGCCTGTGAAATGAGGAGTTTAGAAACAGACAGAAAAACAACCTGTAAAAGGCAATTAATAAAATGCACCAGCAGTCCCAAAACTGTTCAGAACACTTCATTCAGCAATGCATTGAGACAGAACCTCTGCAAAGCTACTAAATAACATGTGACAAAGCAAAACCCAGGAAAAGGCAAAATAATAACTTGTGGTTTTTAACATCTTTTATCCAAAGTGCTTTGCAGCCATATATGCATATTATATGGGGATCATTCATCTAGCTGAAATATAGCTGGCTTCACTTCAAAACTAAGTTGTATAACGGCAGGCAATAAAACTATATGGCAAAGTCAGGGAGAGGAAAATGAAAAGCAACTGTTCTAGTAGGATTACAGAACAAATGCCAAGTCAGCAGAACACCACTCTCTCTAGGTGAAATTTAGGGGAACATTGAGGGTTGCATTCAGACTCGTGGAGAAGATACCACGGCATCACCAATGACCCAGCCTTTGGGTTTACCTCTGAATGAAAATATAGCACCTCTGGCAGCAAAACGTCCCCACTAGCATTAGAGAGGGCCCAGGTGATACCCAGTGAGTGATCAACACTCATTTCTGAATCACCTGCATTTCCTCAAAAGTCTCCTCAAAGCTTAGCATCAATCACTGCAGCCTGGCAAAGATTGATATTTCTCAAGAGCCAGAACGAGCATAACCTGAGCACAAAAATGTTTCTGATTCTTCTGTTGGGCCAGGAGCACTCAGTAGAGTTTCAGAGAGAGGCCAGTCAGGCTACAGGACGTGGTTGCTTTTACTCTAAATGCTGTGGTTAGTAGTATGGTGGGAATGAAGTCCCTCATGTGCCCATGTGATTGTGTGGAGAAGGCGGGACTCTATTCCCAGCTGTAGATCACATTAGTTACTTAATGCTGGTCATTGGGGTGCATGATCCCCTCTAGCTTTTGGAGCTTGAGATTTGCACAAAGGTTGCTGACAGGCCACCACACTCTTCCAGAACTACGATGGTAATTGGCGTTATTCATACAGAAATTTTCTGTTGCATTCTCTATCACAAAACACTTGTTACAGGCAGGAACCTTGCTCTTAGGTGGCTCTTCACTTTCCTCACTGCCTTCAAGTGCCCAGCTCTCAAGTATTTGCATCATAACAAATTGCACATATTCAAGTGACCAGCATTTTATTCAGAAACCTTTGATGATGGATGTCTGGGGGAGTCAGCTCTGCTGAAAAGCCCTAATTCTGGTGATTTGCTATTTCAAGCCTCAGAGTGCATTGAGTTATAAGTGGTTCCCATGTAGAGGTTTTCCTTTGCAAGTGAAGGCTTAAAACATTAGTGTAACACCACCTGTGACACAGCAGAACCTAAATCTATTTTACAGAGTAATAGCCCTGCACTGGGATTTTCCTTTATCTTACAATACACTGCACTTCTAATGGCCTACCACAGCACTGGAGCCAGAAGTCCTCTTACAGGTAGCCTCTTGCCTCTTTACACTTTCAGAAGGCTCAGAAGATTGCAGAAACATAAGACAGTAGAAACACAAAGTATTATTCATCATTCCTCCCAAACAGAGGTTCCCCAGGGAAGTGACTTTGCACATCCTTTTCCCTGAGGATGTTGCATAGCCAGTGGCAAGAAGAAAATGGGATACCTGGGCTGGCATTTCATCACAACACTCCTGCCTGTTGAGGAGCTGGCTCACAGTGAAGTGCAGGCCCTGCTGAAGCAGTATCACTTTCTGCCACCTTCCTCTCTGTCCTTGCCTCCTCCAGCCTCACAGCACAATTACAGGACAGGTGCAGGTATATTTGCCCTCTTTCCTTTACACAGTCTGTTTCTCTTCCTTACTCACAGATATATCAATAAGGTGACTGTTTTCTGTGGTTAAAATTATATCCCCAGACATTTTAAACCTGTAGTCAAAGTAGATTTGACTAGTCTGAATTCACCTTTGAAGAATAAATAGGAGCATGGAAAGGTGCTGGAATAAGAGCCATCACAATCAAAGAATGGAGATCTCCAGCTATATCTTGGGAGACTTTATCTGGATCCAGCTATATCTTGGGAGACTTTATCTGGAAATAAGAGAGCCCTTCCAATACAAGGAAGAGCAACTGCTGTGTGTGACTCTTTCACCTCCAAGTCCTCTCACAATTTCTCATCTCCATGTCAGTTTTCTTGTTCCTGAAAGCCATCCCTTTCTGAGCTATTTACTATGGCACACCATTCTGAACACAGAAAATCCCTCCTCAACCAGAGAGCTTACTGGGACAGACACGAGTCAGTCAGCACCAACTGATAAGGAATAATTCAGTACAGTCTATTCTGTACTCTCTGGCCCTGGGACACTAATCCAGAGGCTAATAAAGCACTAATCCCTTGCTGATCCGCAGGCTCTGTTTCCCACATCATTACTCCAGGTTATATCTGCTCTCACCACCCTAAATCTCCCTTCCCCACCTTGCACTGTCCTCAGCAGTGTGACATCATCACAGCCACCTTTCAGGACCCACCAATGGAGCCACTGATACTCAGTAATTTCAGCCTTCCCTCCTGAACTGTTGCTATCCCAAAGCACAGGCTATTTGCTTTTTGAGCTAGTGGGGTTTAGCTTGTCTCAGAAATGCCCCTGGCACCCCAGCATGGAAACTGCTTCTGGTTCCCAGGGAGCTGCTGAGAGAGAGTAAAAAAGAGGTTCCACCTCCAAAACAGGGTTCCCCTCGCCTTTCCAGGCACCCCTACCTACCCCTGCAGGGGAGATGTACAAATTGTCCAGCCCCAGGTCCTGGTTGCAACCTTGCAATCCCCATTTACTCTGTCAGCTGCTCACTCGTCTGTAACAGGAAGCTCTAAGCCTTGTCATGGATCAGCCAACCTCCAGTTCAGTTCATCTCCTGTAAACACCTCTGGCAGGCAGAAGGAAGGTGAGAGGAAGGGAAGATGACACACAGCTCCCTGGAAAAGTGTGGCTCTACTGTCCCAAGCAGAGCATAGCTTGTCCCAGGTCAAGCCCTTCACACAGTTTGGTCTTCCTGTGACCACTCCCTGATGCTACAGAGAGGGTAAATGATGCAAAAGCATCGATCTTCTGTATTAGTCTTATCAGGCTTCTTGTAAATAGGAATTGTCCAAAGATCTGAAGCATAGAGTTTAGCATAATATCAGTAAATATTACATATTCTGAAATATCTGGATTTTCTCAGTCAGCTCTCCCACATCCAGCACAAATGGATCTTGCAGAGGCCTTGCTTTCAGTGGAGTGCTGGAACAGGGAGTTAGTTTTACAGCATGCTTTTACTTAGCAGTAATCTGGAGCTTGGTTCCAAGTTTGCCATCTTTTAATTTAATCAGATGTCCTTTGAATGAGGCGCTGTATTTCAGGCATGCCAAAGAGGCTGATATAGGGAGAGCTGAAGGGCTGCTTCTCTCTCACTTTTGGAAAAGCTCACCACTAGAATTTATCCTGAGACATAAAAGCCAAAGCACAAAGACAACAGGAGCTTTAAAAGGGTACAGAAAAGAGATACCAAATGCTCCCAACATCCATCAATGTGTAAGCACAAATTATTTGCTTTCAGCAGGAGTCTCAGGGTGTCGATCACTTTTACTAGCAGTGGGTACAAGGGTTATAGAGGACATTACTACATTGCAAGGTAGGCTGTTCTGAACTCTCTCCCTTGATTTTGGAGTTAAGGAAGGCTTTCCATCTTCAACATGGATTTAATTTTACTCCAATTTTTAAAAACAAAGCAACACTCAAAGTGATCTGTGTGCTTCAAATCACAAATTCACAAGACACAAGAGCCCCAGGAATTGCCCTCATTGGTAAACTGCTATTTAAAGAGTACTAAAGCAGTCCTCATTTTCCATCTGTCCTTCCTGCATCCCTCCACATGACAAGGAAAAAGGATGCACTATAGAAATCGACAGGTTATTTCAGCTATTTCTTTCCTGCCAACTAAGAAGGAATAGAAATGCAAAAGCAAGCACACAAGTTTTCAGCCTGTCCTTCCTGACAACTCACTGCAGCTCTCAAACAACACATATCCCCATATCAGGGACAAGAAGACACCATATCCCTGCTGGCTCAGAACTGTGCCTGGGAAGAAACTTGATGACCAGGGACAAGGTGGGAGTACAGGCATCTGATGCAAAAGGACATCACAACAACTCATGGCTCTTGAAACAAACAGAGGAAAAATGCCAAAACACCCCCAGGCCCCAAGGTGTCACTTCTTTGCTGTGTTCTGTGGCTGCTAACCTGCCTGCAAACACTGCAGTTACAAAGCAGGTGGCAATTCATCAGCCAGCTGCATCCTCTCGTGTGCCACTATTTCCTTTTGCCCTGCAATGAGGAGAATTTGCCAGCTCTTTCATTTCTCTGACAAGTGGACAGAACCCTCACAGCTCCATCCACAGCTCCTGGCTAGCTGGATGAGCCCCTGGCCCTCAATGTCACCTGCCTGCATCTGATGGCATTTGTGTGAACTGAACACAAGGACTGTGACCAAGCCATGCTGCTGCACTGATGTCTGAAGATGTAAAAGTCAGGCAACCTCTTCTGACCCCATTGCCCACTCCTCCCTCCAAGAGGCCAAACTTGTGATGGCAACTCAATCCCTCCCCACGAACACCTTGCATCAGTCCAACTGCTCCTACTGGTAACAGCTTCTGTCCTTAAGCACCTGACTAGCTCATTTGGGATTACAGGCACAGCTGATGTTTGCTGCATCCCTGTCTGTAAGCTCTTTATGGAACCCTGGCAGCATGAGGATGCATGTGAGGATGCATCACACAGAGGTGGCAGGGGGCTGGAGAGAGGGGAAGGATACTGGAGTGCTGACTAGGCTGTCCCCCTGAAAGGACAATGACAACTCAGCATTCATCCACTGCAGCTGCTCCCTTTTAAATGCTTATTTTAAATATTTACAGAAGAAGAAGAGGAGAAATCATTAAATTTGGGATTTTTTTTCCAGCAGGTTTTCTTCCAGAGAAGAGGCCAGCCTGACAGCACCCAGGCTGCCTCCAGCCCTCTGTTTATACCCAGCTGGCTGAGGCACTGCAAGTCTGTGTGTACACACACATCTCACCCACCTCAATACTGCCCTGCAGAAGGCTAAGGGAGGAGGTACAAAAGTCAGAGGGTGATGAAGACACTGCTTAATACTGTATTGATTTTTCTGACCTGGCACTGACTGAAGCCCAAAGCTGTTAGACCGCTGCCAAATCTCAGCCTGGGGTTGATGACTTTTTATACTGCTGACCTGGGCTGGACCCACAGCACAAGTAAGCCTGAGAGGCTTAATGCCTCCCCTTGAAGGACTTATCATCTGACCCTTCTCTTGCTAGAAGGCAACCTGATGCATTAAGCAGATATCCCAGGGTTCATGTAATAAATCTGCCTTTCCTGGGCAATCACCTTCACCTCAGACATTGGCTGCAAGAGAATCATGGCTTGGAAAGCTTCATCTCATAGCTGAGATCACAGAATCAATTAGGTGGGAAAAGACCTCTAAGACCATCAAGTCCAACTGTTAATGTAGCACTGCCAAGTCCAGCACTAAAACATGTCCCCAAGTGCCACATATACATGTCTCTTAAATACCTCCACAGATGGTGACTCAAACACTTCCCTGGGCAGCCTGTTCCAGTGCTTCAGAATCCTTTTGGTGAAGAAAATTTTCTTAATTTCATATTTACCCCTTCCCTGGCACACTTGAGGCCTTTTCCTCTTGCCACTTGGGAGATCAGCCCCCATCCTGCTACAACCTCCTTTCAGGTAGCTGTAGAAAGCAACAAGATCTCTCCTGAGCTTCCTTTTGTCCAGCCTGCTCAGATCCCACTCTAGTGCTTTCTTCCATCAAGCAGATCAACACTCCTGCCCAGCTTGGTGTTGTCTGCAGTCTGACTGAGGGAGCACTCAATCTCCTTGTCCAGATCCCGTGTGAAGATTTTAAACAGGCTGCTCCCAGTACTGAGCCCTGTGGAACACCACTGCTGTGTGGTCACCAGCTGGATGCAGAACTATTCACCAGCATGCTTTGGGGTTGGTCATCCAGCAAGTTTTCTACCCAGCAAAGTGAGCACCCAGCCAAGGCACAAGCAGTAGTTGTTTGGCTTCTTGGCCTTCCCCTTGATTCTGACCCAGAAACACCCAACCCTACTGTCACCGTCATTAAGGTAGTTTAAATCTCTTTCCACAAGTCTGGTTAACTCCTGTGCAAAGATCCTTCCCCACTTTTGAGTCAGGTGAGCTGTATCTATCACCAGCAGGCCTGCTGTCATGTAAATCGATCCACGATCAAAATCTGAAAATTCTGCCAGTGACAGCAGGCTTGTATTGATACGCTGGCTTCTCCCATTTCTTCCCTCATCATTCCCTGCAACTGGAAGGATAAATAAGAGCACTACTTGTGCTCCCAATCCCTTAACCAGTTGCCCCAAAGTCTCTCTTGACTGCCCTTGGGTTTGTAACTTGATTGCTACCTACCTGAAAAACCAATAATGGAAGAAAATCCAAGGACTATATCAGGGTAGGAAGCTTTCTCTTCACATCTTTAACCTGGGCCCCAGGAAGGCAGCAGATGTCCATAAGAAGTGTGTTCAGTCTGCTATGGGGTCTGCTACAATTTTGTTCCCTCAGAAGGGGATGTCCTATGCGAATGATCAAGCTTTCCATGGAGAAGCAGTTTTGTTGCAGTGTGGAGGCTGATATAACCTCCCTGGCACCTCCAAACTAGATGAACCAACATCCCTCATTATTGCTTGGCTCCATTTGCTGAGCCTTGTACCTAATGTGCAAGGGCATCTTGAGATACAGCACAGCTGAAGCACGACTTAGCCAGGATGGATTCCCAAGAGAATCCTGTTTTCCTCGTCTCAGGAAGGGGAGTCAAAAATGTGAGAGAGCTTGTTTTGCTCCTTCTCGTCTGTCTGAGCTGCAAATCTCCTTGTACAGCTCTCTGTTCTTCCTTGCTTTTCCAGGCTGTGCACACAGAATCACGTTCCTGATCTCCAGCTACATTTAACATCACTTTACAACAGTCCTCAAGGGGAAAGCTGAGCACCTGCTCCGCTGAGCTCTGTGGTTTGGAGCAGATGCAAGCGAGTTTACTTTGCTAAACAGTCCTACAGGTTTGTTCTGCCCTCAGCCCAATGACATTTGGGGTTTGGAAGGAAAGCAGTCACTGCTGGAGGAGCAGGGTATCAGCTCCTCCCCAACTTTTGAGCTAGAAAAGCACTATCCCCAACGTTTTCTTCTCCCCCATGAGAGAGTGGCAACAACTCTCCAAAAGACTAAAATACAGATCCTGCAAGCTCCCACCCTTACCTTAAGGCTGACAAGAACTCCCCCTGCTCTCTAATCACTAATGAGCATTTGCCCATGGGGTTTTTCCACTTTCTCCCCCAGCTGTGGAATCCTCAGCAAGCACAGGCATTTTGTGCAGGCACTGATGGGTTCTGATTGCTCTGGATGAGAGGGGGACTGCGCATGAAGAGAACCCCAGTGAAGTTCAGCGGCTTGGAAGTGTTTTCCTCAAGGGGACAGACTAGTACAAGCACAGGATTGTCCCTGTCAGACAGCTCATTTCCCCTACCCCTGTCCAAGAGAGTGAGAGAGCACTGTCTGTCTGCATTACGGTGGCTGCACTGCTGATAATTTGCAAGCAGGCAGAGTTCACTTGGGGAAAAATGCAAAGTGCAGCAGGGCAGGAGAGGAGAGACTCTTTTAAAACACTTTTGTCTTTTGTTAAACAAAGTTATAAGACGTCTGGGGGGAAATCTATACCTAATTAAAAGCTTAGCAAGTCCAAGAAGATAGTCAAGGCTACAGAAATCAATTGGTGGGAGCCTGAGACTTACTCACTAGCCCTTAAGATGCTAATTCACAATGTTTCTGAGAGAAAAACATGACCCAGAGCTGCAAAGAGTGTCTAAGGCACTGCTTCTGGGAGGATCAGGTGAAAAGTTCTCAAGTTGTTGGTGATAGCAGCCATTGCTCATTCAGGAAAAAAGACAAAAAGAAGTTGTCCAGCTCTTTTGAAATAGACAACTGCAAGAAAAAAACCCAAAAAACCTGCCTGAGTCAGTCTTGGAATCACCTAGTCCAGTCAGCCTGAGTTTCCATAGTAAGCATTCTATTCCAGGAGCATAAAGCAAATGGTGATGGTAGTTTTGATGGAGGGGTGCAGAGAAAGACAGAGAGAGCAGGACGGGAGAGGCAGGCAGGAAGCCAGGAAAGCACTTCCCACACATACAGGGCAAGCTAAGGCTGAAAGAGACACGGAGGTTTGGGCAGCTGTGCCCAGGGAAACGTGTTCCTTATCATCAAAGAAAGCTGCAACAAGGACAAACTCTCCTATCAATTTGTTATTGAAAGAACTCCTGCCCTGCTGAGCCCATTGTTCAGGTCAGGAGGTGGCACTGGCTCTGGAAGGGTTTGGGGAACAAAGCAAGCCCCAGCGGAAGGGCTGGTCATGTAACTCAGTCAAAGGGACACAAAGCTGCCACTCACAGAACCAAAGAGTCACCTAGGTTGGAAAAGACCTTTAAGATCATCGAGGTCAGCCGTTAACCAGCACTGCCAAATTCACCACAACTACACGTCTTTTAAATCTGCTCAGCACCTCCAGCCCCAAGCCCAGGGCACACAGGATCACAAATGCAGCTCAACAAATAGAGAAGGGTAGCTGGAGGGTTTTACTCTGGCCCCCAGTAGCCCCAGAATCCACCTGTAAACCCCTCCAAGGCCAGTGGCAAAGATGCACACAAAGGATCAGCTCCCCCACCCCACTGAAACAGTCCCAGCACAGCAGTCCCATGGCCTGGTTACACACACATGCTGCTGGGAAATAAAAAAACAACCTGATGTGCTTCACTGCTTGAGCACCCATCCCTGAGTTATTGAGAAATGACCATCACTTGTGCAACAGAGCTTTTCAGTGCCAGCAATAGCAGGAGGCACACGCAGCACAGGGGACAGAGATTTCCAGCCCCCCCCCACCTCCTGCCACCCCCGCAGCTCAGGCAGACACACAAACTTACCTTTCACTCCTTCCTTCACTAACTGTCTTATCGCCATAGCAACTGTAATCCTAGGTCATGCAGCTAGGAAAAAAGAATAAATATAGCACAAATGAAGATATACACTATCGCCAAACACAGCCTCGTTGGTAGAATCTAATTTTCATTAGAGGCATAACAGTGGTTTTGCATAATTATACATATATTAATGCCCAACATGCCCATCTTCAGTGGGAATTCATTAATTCGGTTCTAAATAAAAAGGATTGCTCATTGCAGGTTAATGTCTTTCTTTTTTTTTTTTTATTTTAAAGAAGAAAATATTTCTAAAGGCTCAAATCATACTTTCACAGCTTTTCCTTAATCCTGAGATTAGCAGAGAAAGGAAAACACAAAGATTAAGTTGGCTCTGGAGTAAAAAAATGGCAAAACACATAACGGCAAACTTTTCTCCTTTTGAAATGTGAGGAGCAAAAACATTTGGCCAGATGCTGCACTGTACCTGGAATTGTGTCCCAAAGGAAAGCATCTCACAGCCTTTGGTGCTTGTGGTGAAAGCAATACAGCAGCACCGTACTGAGGAGAACACACCGCCGCAAGCGACCGAACACAGGTTTGGCTGGCGCCAGAATTTACTACACAGCCTGAGGTCAGCACTTACAAGAGGAGGCTTGCTTACTCTGATGGCACAGGTACAAGACAGCAGCACCAAGGGACAGCCTCAGCCAAGCACACCAGAAAGCAGAGAAACCCTTCCTCTGCATCTTTCCTTCCTTAATTTGCTCCTCAGGTTCCTTCACTACCTACTAAACACAAACACCCTGAGGCTGGTACCTTATGTCCCCTTTTTATTACTTTTTTTTCAGGTAGGCCTCTTCTGAGTGATGGGGAGCCCTTGGTGCTGGTCAGACCCAAATTTTCCTGTGTGCAGGGCAGTGCCTGGTGGGTGGTCATTGTCACTTCAGGTGACAGGTGCCTGGCTATGTGGCTGCTCTGGGATGTCACAGTGAGCCCTTTTATTGCAAGCACTCAAGTGGCTCTAAGGATGTTCCCAGAGTCCTGACCTGGTGCATGCTGGACTAAATAATGAAATGAAAAGAGCATCCTAAAGAGATGTCTCTTCCCTAACTTTATCAATATCAGAGCCAGGGAGGCAAGGGAGGATCTATTTGGTTCTGTCTCCACAAAGGCTTATTTAATTCCTCACTTACTGAAAAGGCAAGGAGAACTAGGACAAAGGGAAGAGGAGGGCTGGGCTTGAGAAAAGGGTTTGGAGGCAGGGAAAAGGGGGAGGTGCAGAATAAATAGAAAGACAGAAGAAGAGACAGAGAGAGAGGTCTGTCCTAAACAGAGATAAAAGTCTCTCATGGCTGTCAATCTCTAGTTCATCTCCTTGTTGTGTTATCATTAGCACACAGTTCAAAGCTCAGCCAGTGTGAGGGGAGAAATCTTCTCACCCAAGCTTCTGCAGGGTGGAGGGAACTCACTGCCTATCTGTCCAAGCCTGTGTCTGCCCTGGTCCTTGCTGGTCCTTTCCTCTGCTGTAGGGAGCCCTCACTGACATGGACTTTTGGGATGTGCAGCAGGTCCAAATGTGGCCCCTTCAGTCCACACTTCTGCCCATGTCCTGGAGGTACCTGAGCCCTGGAAGCCCACCTATCCATCATGAAATAGCAGCTTGTTTCAGATGATGTTGGTCAAAACCAGATTTTTAAGTTGTTTTTTTTACACAATGAATATACACCTCTGGCACACTTATGCCTACTGTGTCTGTCCTCCTCTCTTGAGTGCCAACCTAGTCAGAAAAGGAACTTTTTAGAGACAGGTCAGATGGGGCCTGGCAGAGGGCCCTGCTGTGCATGAGCTGTGAGCTCATAAGCGGAGGAAAGAACCCCCCTTCTCTCTGTGCAGCTGTGCTGTAGGTTTGTGGGTCTGTTTGCCCAGGATTGCCACTGACTACAAAGGCTACCCAGCCTTCTCCCTGAGCAGAGAGCAGTGGCAGTGTTAAAACCTCCAGAAAAACAGGGTAAGTGTTCAAATGTCTGTGATAAAGTGCTCTGTGGGAGCACTTCCCTGAACTGGCGAAGGAAACAAAATCAGCCACTCCTCTGATTTTCATGTTGTCTGCAATTACCACCTCTGGCTGCCAAAACTAGTAGCTAGGCCTGGGATGGGGAAATGAGACAGAGAGGGATTTGCTCCATCCCTGGAAGTATTCAAGGCCAGATTGGACAGGGCTTTGAGCAGCCTGGTCTAAGTGTCCCTGCCCATGTAGGAAGTAATTGGAATACATTCACAGGGGAGCTGAAATATGACCTAGGAAGCTTGTAGAGACAAGCTTGTAGAGTGCCAGAAATATTGTTATCCCCTGCTTCCCTCCCAGCAGCTCCTGCAGTTTTGAGACAAGTTTGGTCTCTCCCTAGACGTTCCTTTCCTGCAGATATCCCTGCACATACAAATCCCTTGACATGGGATTTTCCCCAGCGTCCCTCCCCACTCCAGCTCTCAGGGCTTTTTTACCCATTTTTACCCACATTACCTGCTGACTCCACAGTGCTGTGGCAGCAGCAGCAGGGAGAGGTACAGCTCTGCTGGGAAACCCGGCAGGGTGCTCCCCTCCCTGAAACACGGCCACTGAGCCACGCTGAGGAAAAGCAGAGCAGTAAGGATTCAAGGGACACAGTCCCTGCTCCCCTTTGGAGGGACATTTAAGCCAGCTGAAGAGGGGATGTGTGAGCATATCCAGCAGGATGAGCTTTATGATTTAGGCAAACAGTGTAAATGCTTAAGTACTTACATCTAATACCGTTCCTGGCACTCTCACAAATGGACTCTCCTGCCCAGCCATGCACAGCAGTCTCAGATGCCGTCTCACAGCAGGGACACATGGAATTCCATCCTTCTGCCTACAGGCACACCTGGAAATCTTGCATGGGCAGTGTGGCCTTCTCCTTCTGCCCTGCCTGTCCACGGAGGGGACAGGCAAGTGATGCTCAGCCTGTCTCGCAGTGGCTGGGGATCTCTGTGCCATATTCACGGCACCTTGGAAGGTGGCATCACGGGGTAAAAACATGAGGCAGGGGGGCAGGTGATTTGTTCCAATGTTTTGCTGCAATCAAACAGCAGCTCCTGACCAGAGAGAGAGATGGAAGATGTGGCAAACCTGCACTTCCCGGTCCAGCACTGATCTGAAGCTGATGCATGCTCTGACCAGGGTAGGGGCTCTCCTACCCCTCATGGGCTCTCACGTGTTCCTGCAACAGCGAGGAGATAACATTCCTCCTTCTCTCTCATGCACACTGATTAAAATCATGCTCATCACAAGTGCCTCCGCTCGAGCACCCAGCCCTTTAATTGTTGCAATGAAGGATATGAATGTAGGCTATTCTGAGTCCAGCAAAGCAGAAAATTAGCATTTAGCATGAAAATGATACCACTGCATCATCACCAGTGCAAAGCAAACAACACAACCATCCAGGCTGCCTCTTCCCCTCCCTACCTGCATGCTGGGACTCATCCAGTGCTGCAACAGCCCCATTGCTTTCCACACACGTGGGGCCTGTCCCTCTGAGGCTGCCACCAGGAGACAGGCAGGCGCTGCAAGGTGGCATCTGCTTGCTGACTCTGAGCTTTTGATGAAGCAGGTTTATACACTCCTGCTGAAATAATCCTCCCTCAGATGTCAAAATGCCACATTAGCTGCTGCATTGATTTCTGCAGTATTTACAGAGCAGAAGAACGCAGCAGGAAGCAGGGGTGAGGCTGGAGGGAAGAAACTTGCACCCCTGGTGTGTCCTGTCCCTCAAGGTAAATTATCTTATGAAGCCAGAAGTCAGATCTCCTCCAGAGCCTTAGCTCTCTCCATCATTACTGCAAATTCCCCTCAGGTGCCCTCATCTTTTTGTTACCTAGGCTGGTTGGACACAAAAAAATGTTAAAATGCTGTGTCCACAGAAGCCTAAAAGGAAAGACTGTTTTTTATCAGTCAGGCTGGGATGGAGCCATCATCTGGTAGGTGATAACTAACCTTCCAAACCTGTGAGCAGTGCAAGGATGACTGCAATGCTTTCCCACCCCAGTCAGGGCTCAGCATGCTGGTGGTTTCTACCACAGAGAGAACTGCCATTTCCCTGGCCTCCCACAAGTAGGTGTCTGAACATCCTTGCCCAAAAGGGAGACTATTTCAACATGTTTCAACATGGATCTGCAACCTCTTCGGGCTCCTGAGCAAATCAATGATGCCGAAGTGCCAGAGCTTCAGTTCTGATTAGCAGATGGAGTAGCAATTTACGCGGCATGAGGAGGGTCCTGCTGGTCCCCAACAGTGCACACACACACAGACACACACACACACACACAAACACACACACAGAGCCGTGGTGGCTCTCACAGCTCCAGATCCCCTCATGTTCCACCACATGATCTGCTGCAGATCCCTGCCAACCCAAGCTCTTTCCCCTGCCCACAGAGGCAGGCTGGACTAGCACAGGTTGCAGCCCAGCTGTGCCCAGCCCCTCAGGCTGCCACACTTTGAGGCTGTCCCTTGTCCCCAGCCCAGGGCTGGACAGGGCTCACTGCCCCGGGGCAAGCAGACACCTTTGCAGCTCATTACAGACAGCATAGCCCAGAAATTGTCTGTCTCAGAGCTGTGGGCACTGCTGGTGAGCAGTGTCCCGAGTCAGCAGTTTGGGCTGTTTACTGCTTTAATATACCCTTGAAAAAAGAGACCAGTGGGAGATCTGTTTATAAACCACAACCACCCTGAAACAAGTATATGCCTACACCCACGCACATATACAGAGCAGCAGTGACTATGGAAGCATACAAATAAATATTGAGCAGACACCAAGGGATTTTCAGAATAGTCTCTCTGTTTGCTTTTTTTTTTTATTCAATGCTATGTTGTTTGTTATTGGTTTGTTATTGGCTGCTTCTTTTTTATTTATTTTTTTTTTTTTACCTTCCTGATTTATTTCCTATGCCTGGACTTACAATAACAGCAGAAAGTAATCAGTGGCCAATAATGATTAACAGTCTTTCATGTGATTAACTCTACATTCAAGGTAAGGTAATTTCAAAAATCTGTGCCAAGTAATATTATCGTACAGGGAGGATGGGGCAGTTGTATGTATGTAGAGAAATTATACACACAAAAGCAGATCTTTTATCCACACCACCCCATTTACACTGCACTCATCTTTTCTTCTTAGAAATATCTATTATTAACTAGAATATGTGTAGCACTTCTGTGCGTAGATCATCTTGAAATGAACCCTTCATATGATTCAGATAAGGAGGTGAGAAGTGTGTAAGTGAAAAAGTAAATTACTGTGTTGGTGAAATAATTGAAAGGAGAAATGGGATCATCCACTTTCATTGTTATCCCAGCAATTATTAGATTCAGCTAAGGATGACAGTGGTAGTTTTAGTGGAAAGTCCACTTGGTACTTCATCTCCAAAGCTGTGATAGCTCAAAAGCAAGTCTTACACCAAGGACTTGTGGGGTAATTAAAATGCTTGCCTGTGCATGGATCACGTACCTCGAGTTCTTGCATGATGCTTCTCCTTCTTGTGTGTGGGTGGCTCTCTCCTAAATAGGTACATTTCAATTTAAGAGCAAATCTTGGATTAAAGATGTTTCACTAAAAAATAGTTTCTCTTCAGATTGCCATCCACAGAGCCTAAGGTATCACTGATCATTTGTTTTGAAGCAGCATCTTAGCCCCTCTGAGTGTTTCTGAGTGAAGAAAAGGTGGCTGCCCTGGCTGCTTGTGCTGGATGGTTGATTTTTGAAGGTACCCTGCCAGACTCTGTGAAAGAACAGTGCTATTCCCTTAGCAGCATAGGAAATAGAAGAACAGAAAGAAAGTTTTGGCAGCATATTCCACTCACTGTGGTCAGCACAAGCAGGTAACTTACAGTTCAAAAATTTCATTCAAGATGTGTCAGCTGGAGGAAAGAAAGGGGAAGAGCTGCAGGAAAAGCTGCTTCATTTGCGTGGTGCACTATGTGCACCAACACTGCCCCAGCAACCAGAAGCAGAACAGAACAAAACAACAAAACACAGCTGCAGCATCTTTGAAAGTTCTCCAAAATAATACAGATAGTTAAAGCAGCATTAGACAGAAGGTTAAAGTGCTCTGGTCTCTGAAAGTGTCCTTGGAAAAACAGTGCCTGTCCCTCTGCTATCATTCTGCTCTGTGGACCATGAGACAAAGGGAGAGCCGTATCTGTCAGCTTTGGTGACTACAGACAAAACCACTAAGGAAAAAGATTTGTATTCCTCTGTGTCCACAGCACTGCACAGCATAGGGGGAGTGTGAGCT